AAAATTGGACTTTTAAGTTCTCTGTTACTGCTTGACCTTTGCCTTTCACATCTAGTCAGTGTGCATTGTTTTTCCTTTTTCTTTAGGTACTCCTAGCCAGATTACTTAATCAAGTACCCAGCCATTCTTAGGTCTGACTTCCCTTGCTGTAGGCACTAATTTCCCATATCAGTCATATATTCTGATATCAAAAAAAATTTTTTTTGCATGTAGTTTTCTCTTCAACATCTGCACTAAAATCAGGCTCTGAACTTTTCTCTCTGTTAGACTTTGTTTTGGCATCCTTCCTATTACCCCCATTACTTCTACAATGTATATTTGTTATTATAACCTGTATCCTTAAGTCTAATATAAAAGAACTTCATTTAAAATATTTTCTTGAGGGACGCCTGGGTGGCTCAGTTGGTTAAGCAGCTGCCTTCGGCTCAGGTCATGATCCCAGCGTCCTGGGATCGAGTCCCACAAGGGGCTCCTTGCTTGGCGGGGAGCCTGCTTCTCCCTCTGCCTCTGCCTGCCATTCTGTCTGCCTGTGCTCGCTCTCTCTCCCTCTCTCTCTGACAAATAAATAAAAAATATATATATATTTTCTTGACTCTTCTTCAGTATTTATCCTTGCTCAGATTCATAAAGGGCTACTGTATCTGACTTGAAGCATTACAACTGAAAGGGATTTGGAGAATTTGACTATTGCACCTTAGAGGGAATTATTGGAATAAGAAAAGTTTAAAGAATTTAGATTATCTAATCTAAAGGCAAGAAAAGGGGGTGCCTGGGTGGCTCAGTGGGTTAAAGCCTCTGCCTTCGGCTCAGGTCATGATCCCAGGGTCCTGGGATCAAGCCCCACGTCGGGCTCTCTGCTCGGCGGGGACCCTGCCTCCTCCTCTCTCTCTGCCTGCCTCTCTGCCTACTTGTGATCTCTGTCTGTCAAATAAATTTAAAAAATTAAAATTAAAAAAAAATAAAGGCAAGAAAAGTAAGTTACATTTATTGTCTGATGGGTGTTACCAGTTTATAGATACTTAAAAGAATCAGACGAGAGGTTATTGGCATTTAAATTGGATAGTTTGGACAAATAGAAGGACAAAAGATATACATGTAACTGTGTATCTCCTATGTTTCCCCATCACTTAGTTCCCAAATATTTTACTGCCAATGGAATAGAGCAAGGCTAGGATTTATTTACTCTGATTGCATACCTTGGACAGTGCCTAGAAGTCCACCTACCTGTATAATGGGAATCTGCCCATTTTGACTTACTAATCAGGTAATTAAGTGTGAGGCAATCGAAATGATATACTACTTTATCTTTCTATGTGCTTTTGTCAGTTTCTAGCATACAGAAAAAAGTATGTCTTTTTAGTTCTGTGTAGTCTGATCAAAAGGTGCTGTGAGTTTTTGTTAGCAGTGGGGTTTTAGGAGCACTGTTTTTTAAAACCTGAGAGGTGCTATGAAGGACATATGTTTCCTTGTAAATTACTAGTTATAAGTCTTGATGGAGATTGGAGATTAAATTTGGTGCCTTTTTTTTTTTTAAGATTTTATTTATTTATTTGATAGAGACTTACAGAGCACAAGTAGGTAGAGCAGCAGGCAGAGGGAAAGGGAGAAGCAGGCTGTCTACTGAGAGGGGAGCCCGATGTGGGATTTGATCCCAGATCCTGAGATCATGACCTGAACTGAAGGCAGCCACTTAACCTAATGTTCTTTCAAACCTATAATTTCCATTCTGTTTTCTAATCCTGTCATTAAATTTTCTTATCCTAATGAACATACTTTAATATTTATTGCAGATTTTATTACTGTTACACTAGGAATATATAAACTATGTGTTAAATATGAAGTGGGTTTGTTAACTGTGTAGAGCATGAATGAACACATTGTTACTAAACTGGTTAGAGAGTTCTTGCAAAATTAATCATTAAATCAAGAATTGCTTGTGAGTTCAGTGAATAATAAGAAATGCTACTTTATTGTTATGGAGATTGTAATGTAAGAGTGACTTGTTTGGGATATAATTCTTTTGAGAGTTGTAAAACCATATTATAAATAGTCCTTACTGAAATGGTGAATAGCATTCTGTCTTCTTGCTTATTTAAATTAGTTTTAAAATGTTTCTCTATGCAGTCTTAAGGTATTTCACAACTTCATTTACATACATTTGTTAATTTGATTCCATGTTTACCTTTTAATGAATATAAAGTTAACATTTTTTAATGACTGGTAAAATTTGAAATTTCATTATGATCTGCGTGAAAAAATATTTCAATTAAATTGTAACTTAATTTAATTCAAAGTCAAATTTATTCTAATACTTTACCTTCTGCCCCATTTTATAAATAACAGCCTAAACCTTAGTGTGGGTAGGGGAAGAAGACCTTTTGGTTGACGGTTTAGCTATTGGGTAATCTAGATGTACTTTGAAGCTATTGCTATTAATATCTACACTAATTCCTCTATAGTGTTTTATTTACTAAGGAGGCACGATGGAATTCTGAACAAAAGAAAAAGATTTGTTGGGTTAATAGCTGCTACCCTTTGTTTTCATCCTTTCTTAAGACAGTGCTTCCTTTGTTAACCAGGGAAGGGATAAAAAGAATACTATTTTGTGGGTTTTTTAATTTTTTATTTATTTATTTATTTTTTTTTTACGATTTTTTAAATTTATTTGACACAGAGAGAGAGATCACAAGTAAGCAGAGAGGCAGGTGGGGCGGGGGGGAAGCAGTCTCAGTGCTGAGCAGAGAGCCCGATGTGGGACTTGATCCCAGGACCCTGGGATCATGACCTGAGCTGAAGGCAGAGGCTTTAACCCACTGAGCCACCCAGGCGCCCCTATTTTGTGTTGTTTTTTTTTTTTTAATATGTCAGACTGGTTATTAATATGAAAACCTCGTTTCTTCTGGGAAACTTGTTAATATTCCCAAGGCTGGCCCTTTCCACCTTCTGCCTTTTCGCAGGTCCTTTTCTGCTTTGTTACCGACTAACCTCTTTTCTAACCGTACTGATTAACAAAGCAGTGGGTGTGTGTGATTTAGAGTCTACGTTATAGCTGAAATATTTAAAAGGATGTTTTGTGGTAATGGAATTAGATTTAGGGGTGCCTGGGTGGCTCAGTGGGTTAAGCCTCTGCCTTCGGCTCAGGTCATGATCTCGGGGTCCTGGGATCAAGCCCCACATTGATGTCTCTGCTCGGCAGGGAGCCTGCTTCCCCCTTCTCTCTGCCTGCCTCTCTGCCTACTTGTGATCTCTCTGTCAAATAAATAAATAAAATCTTTAAAAAAAAAAAAAAGGAATTAGATTTAATTGGATAGCAGCAGAAGGAAAAAATGGGTAGAAATGGAAAGATTGCTCCAAGTATGGGAACACATTTCTAAAAGGACGATTCAAAATTAGGATTAGCCACCCCAAGACCTTTCTGGGAATACTGTAGTAAAATGTTAGACTAACTGACCTTTAGAGTAGTTTATAACACTGAGATTCCAGGACTTCATAATTGTGTGTGATGACCTGTAGTTTCTTTGTGATGTATTTGGGTATGGGATTCATTTTCATTTATCTATTTAGGATTTAGTGTGTGCTTCTTCAATCTGTTAATTTAAGTCTGTCTTCAATTCTGAAAAAAACTCTTTATCACTGAAGATTTTGCCTTTACTTTTCTATTTTTCCTTCTAGTACTGTAATTAGACCTCTGTCAGAGCCTCTCATTTTATCTTTCTCTTCTCTGAAATTGCTCTTTATTTTTCATCTCCTTATCTGTGAATGTCTGGATAATTTCTTCAGATACTCTTTTAGTTCACTTATTCTCTCTTTAGCTTATCTGTTGTGCTGTTTAAACAGTACATTGAGTTATTAATACCAATGTTCATAGCAATAATTTTTAATAGTAAAAAAATACAAAAACTACAATCCAAATTCCCACAAGAGCAGAATGAAAAATATATTCGGTATTCAATGGAATATGACACAGCAGTGGAAATCTGCAAACTGTAGCTATGTGCAACAAGTGAGATGAATCTCGGAAACATAATATTAAGCAAAACCATACAAAACTAAATGATATAATGTTTAGGCCTATGCGGATACTGTACCACGGTTATAAAAACAAACAAGGGAATAATGAACAAAATTCAGTTTCGAGATCACCTTAGAGGAAGGTATGATTGGTTAGGTTGAGGCATCCACAAGACTTCAAAGGCAGTAAGAATGTTCTTAAACTGGGTGGTGGTATATAAATGTTTGTTGTGTCATTCTACTGTACACATGTTTTCTGAATTTCTTTTGTACCTACTCAGTACAAATAACATTTTAAAGACCTTAAAAAGTAAAAGTAGAATATACTCTGAGAACAAATGAATACAAGTATAAGCTAATTATCAACACAAATGTTTTCAAAGGAATAAATTTAGAGTTTGGAATTGGCTTATTCAAATAATTACTGAATTCTCATTTTACCTGTTAAGATAGCAATTTTTAAAGCTTAAAGTATCATAATTTTCTCTTTGGATGCTCTAAAACATTCTCCTATGTTTGTTTACAATAGAAAATATTACAGGACGTCTGGCTGGCTCAGTGGGTTAAGCCTCTGCCTTCAGCTCAGGTCATGATCCCAGGGTCCTGGGATCGAGCCCCGCATCGGGCTCTCTGCTCAGTGGAGAGCCTGCTTCCTCCTCCTCTCTCTGCCTGCCTCTCTGCCTACTTGTGATCTCTGTCAAATAAATAAATAAAATCTTAAAAAAAAAAAAAAGAAAAAATATTACATAAATTATTGTATTTTAAAACAACTTTAAAAATTAAGGTATAGGTCCCAAATAAATGTAATAGATTCACATCCTTATTGAGAAGCTTTATGGTGACAGTTAAGCCCTCTGTTGCTTTTCTTCCGTGATTGACATGACAGCAGTCTGTGGAGTTAGCTATGTGATTATGTACAGATTGGACTTACTTTAGGTTATTCTTTGAAAATAGGACTTCAAGCAAGGCATCTTGTATTCCTTTTGCAGAAATGTTGCTGAAGTGCTGCTGAAAGGGCCAGAGATGCAAGGATTTGGGACACACTTTGAACCTTTAAGCTGTCTGACATTGACCTCCTTTCGTTATTAATAAAGAAGAAGCAGGAGCTTAGGATGTATTAACACCGACTCATTAATATACTAACCGGACAATGTTCTGCAGCAGTTCTACATTGTAAAGTCCTGGATTGGCACAAAATTAAATAATTTCATATTTTACTCCACTTATAATATGACTCGATGGAGGAAAATTTGATAAGTATGAGGGAAGACCATTCTTTTCATGTTCGTTACAGGTAAGACTACTGCTTTCTTGGTGGCTTTTAATCCTTATTTAAACATGTATTTAGTTCTGATCATTTCAGATTTAAATTTGAATATACTTAAAATATATTATCTTCAGTTAGTATCTCCTGTATATGGTATTTTCTTTTTGTTGTGGTTGTTGTAAGTTTTTATATCCTTTCTATAGGAAAATGGTGCTAAAGGCCAATTATATATTATAATTTATTAATGTTTTGTGGATGAGTTTATGAATAGTTACTTTATATTTTCCAACTATTGTAATGCAAATATAAAAATGAAATATATTTCTAAAATGTTTGGGGTAAAAGATGGATTTGTAATATGGTCAGATGAATGACCTAATTTTTGTGTTTAAGTTTTGATTTTATTTATTTATTTATTTATTTTTTTTTTTTAAAGATTTTATTTATTTATTTGTCAGAGAGAGGGAGAGAGAGCAAGCACAGGCAGACAGAACGGCAGGCAGAGGCAGAGGGAGAAGCAGGCTCCCTGATGAGCAAGGAGCCTGATGTGGGACTCGATCCCAGGACGCTGGGATCATGACCTGAGCCGAAGGCAGCTGCTACCCAGGCGTCCCTTATTTATTTATTTTAAAGATTTTTAAATTATTTATTAGAGAGAGAGAGAGTGAGAGAGCATAAGCAGGGGGAACAGTGGAGGGTGAGGGAGAGGGAGAAAGCAGGGTCTCCCTGAGCAGGGAGCCTGATGCAGTGCTCGATCCCAGGATCCTGGGATCATGACTTGAGCAGAAGGCAGGTGCTTAACATCTGAGCCACCTAGGTGCCCCGTGTTTCAGTTTTTAAATGGTGATCTTTAATAGAGAAGCAGGCTCCCTGATGAGCAAGGAGCCTGATGTGGGACTCGATCCCAGGACGCTGGGATCATGACCTGAGCCGAAGGCAGCTGCTACCCAGGCGTCCCTTATTTATTTATTTTAAAGATTTTTAAATTATTTATTAGAGAGAGAGAGAGTGAGAGAGCATAAGCAGGGGGAACAGTGGAGGGTGAGGGAGAGGGAGAAAGCAGGGTCTCCCTGAGCAGGGAGCCTGATGCAGTGCTCGATCCCAGGATCCTGGGATCATGACTTGAGCAGAAGGCAGGTGCTTAACATCTGAGCCACCTAGGTGCCCCGTGTTTCAGTTTTTAAATGGTGATCTTTAATA